GTTCCGTCCGATGCCAGAGCGCGAGTCCACGTCGACGCCGTTGATGCTGCGCGATAAATCGCGAGCGATATCAACGACCGGAATCGAGTCGATACATAAATTCGGTGGTTTTGATCCGATATACTAAAATAACGCATCTCTCTGCGACCCGGAAGCACCCGCATGATTTATTATTCCGGTACGCTAATTTAAATTTTCAGATGTTCACTTCGCATGAAAACCGTATCATACAAAATTTATCGCAAAGCGAGAATGTTAATAAATTAATTATACGAAACTTCTTTTATTTGTAATAAAGTAACAGTTCCAAATTTTTTTATCTTTCTATTTTTGTATCACTTTTATCTTTTTAAACACAACTGTTATACTTTGTAACACGGATAAAGGCGTTCTATGTTTCGCCATTAGCGGTAAAAGCTCGAACATTTTAGAGATATCAAAAATTTTTAACTTTGAAAATTGAGAGCTTTGTATCGTTCGAATTTATCTAAAATATCCGAAATAGTACAACCATTCGAGTCGAAACATCGCCAGTGTGCATTCGTTCCGTTGGCATCTCGGTCGTACTTGGAACGTCTCCAGAGCATTCAGCGCGACTCGTAAACGACAGTCACGCGAACGTAACTCGCCGCGCGTATTTCTGCGGGCACAGGATGCCTTCGTCCGGTCGGAGTATAAATTAGATCGACTTGTCAGCGGTCGCCGACACTAAATAATACTTAGCGACTGGATTAACGCGCGGTCTTTAACCGCGAGGCCAGCCTTCCGCTCGCGGTTTCCGCGCCGCGTCGCGCCGGGCCGCGCGACCGACCTCCTATTTCACGGTACGCGAACTCGTTTGGGAACGATTTACGGAGCGGGCGTGTACCGAGCGTGTCACACAGAGACTGTGTCGAAAGAACACACGAGGGAAAAATAAGCTTCGGTGATTAATGCGAGACGGATTAAAGGCGCTGCGCGTCTGTCTCGACTCTCTGCGTACGTACGTGTGTGTCGTCAAATTTATAAAATAATCTTGACGAGAAAATAAACCTGCCGTCTCTCTATTGCAGTTGAAGTGATAAGACTTCGTGTTCTATCGACGAGCTTTTCGCAAGTGTCATTTGTTTGTGGATTAACGCGGAGTTTATTTAAGCCGCGTGAATGAATTGCATTATTGGGTTTTCTATTTTCCTTGAGATTATCGCGTAAGATTAGAAAAATATATTTGCCTGTCTAAAATGCATCAGAGATGTATCGAAAAAATATACGAAAGACAAATAAGCTGCGTGATTAAGGCGAAATTAGTTACATCGTTTCTCACATGTATTTACGTATATTATTTAGTCCGTAAAAGAAACATTCTATAAAAATAATCTCTTCATAATGTGAATTCCTATTTCATCCATAATTTTAGCTGACTTGTTTTACGAATTAAAACTAATGTCTTAATTATCGCGAGACATTAACAAAATAAAAAAAAAGATATGTATTCTCAATTGCAAAGCGTGTAAACATTAACATTTATTGACTGGGGAAGAAGCTTTCTGTGTCTCTGATTAAGCTCTTCAATTTCTAAATGAAACAGTAAATGTCAGGCGGAAAGTCCGATGCGCGGAGTTAGACGCGACGACGCTAGACGCGCGACGGTGTCTCCGAAAATTCGATTGCTCTGTAAAAAAGCTTGTAAACAGGACCGTTTGCGAAGACTTATTATTTCCTGTCTGTCGTTCGGCCACTCTGATTACAACACCGCTCGTTTCGGGACACGGGGCGACGCGCGCATTTATTTTCGACGCTGGTGACGACGGGCGCCCAGAGTATCGATTATGGGAGGCGTTAATGAGGCATCGGCACGTCAATATTCTCACGCTTATTTGCTCGCCGATAAACGAAAGCACGGAGCTCATAGTTGGCGCAACAACTCGCATGCGTATCTAACTTTTAACGGCGGCATAGAATTTTATCAGCTGTACTGTAATTCGTTTCTTAATATAGACGACTAAGAAGTCTCACAGTAAACATTTGCTCAATAAATTGAAAATTCCGTGCTCCTGTTTGCCCGAGCGAGTGTTTTACGTAAACTCGAAGTTAGCGTTGAGCTTCGGGAATCTTATTATTCAAGCTTGTTTTACAAGAATTTATAACAAGAATGTCCGAGTATTCTGTCTGAAGAAATATTGCATTTACCAGGCTATTAAACAATATAATTGGCCATTTATTCCCGTCATTATTGTGTGTTATTATTAAATTAAAAAATGAATAAGTAGTGATAAGTCCGCTGCCGTCGATTGTCTTGGAAGACACTCGACGAGTAAAGTAAATCGAACGTAATAAGATCGCCTCGTTACGTAATAAGAACTTCTGCTTAAATTTAAAGTTAATGGAGAAAAACCTGTTAGGACAATAAAAATCTGATATCAAAATTAATTAATTCTGCTAATAATGACTGCAAAATTTAACGAGATGAAAACTCTTAACGATTGATTTACAGCACAATGGAATTTCATTTACAACGACATCGATAGAAATTTTCGCTACATGCAATATAAAATTTCAGTTATTTTAATATAACAAAATTAAAACATCGGGAAATTCAGCAAAATTCTTTGTAGTCAAATTTTTTCAATTCAATTTCGAAAGCATTCAATATATTTTTTACTAACAAATACTAGTACTGAGTTGTCAATGTAATTTTTGATTACAAATTGTTGATAAACTTGACGACAAAAATGCAATAATGCTCTACATAATTGACAGAGAGAAAAGTAATCTAGAGCTACCACTTCCTCGTTTCGATCGCCCTCGCGTGTCGAATCGAAAATAAAGGGATCGCCATCGCCATAATCGTGTACTCGTTGCCGAACATTGATCTCCAAGTCCGTCGTGAATGCAAAAGTGTCTTTAATCAGAGGATTTCCATGGTTTTGTATCAATCAACGTTAGCAGAGCTAGCGACGCGACTGTCATTATGCAATACGATCAGGACGCGGAGTGAAGCGCGACGTGGATCGACCGACTGCAGAAGTTGGAACATAACTCAGAACTTTGTCGCTGATCCCGCTCGTTAAGGGGAAGCGCTTTTTAGGATACCGCGCCATCGCTGCTCGATAACTTTTCTTCTGTCATTCGGATCGAAACTCACAAAAAATAATACCGGCGACGAAACTTGAACATCGCGACAAAACCGAGGCACCCCAGTAGTTTTAAATTTAGTACGTGTTTAAAATTAGTACGTGTAAAGGTTGTAATTAATCTCTCAAGCGACGATATAATTGACAGCAGCGATAATTAAGTAGCATAATTAATCAGATTTTGAGATTTCAAATCAAATCAGTGTTTTTCAATTGATAAATATGTTAAATTACTTAATAATTGTTTTTAAATCAACTATTCTTAAAGAACTTTGCTGAACTTTCGACGAATGCTGATATCTTTTTCTAAAATATATATTTTTTTATAAAGCTCTGCATGGTAACATATCAGGCGACCAAAGTAGCACATTTCTATTTGTTTCGTTAACAAATAAATACCCACAGCGTCTATTATCATAATTATATAGTTTTTATAAAACAAAATTGGATAATGTCGTTCTTTATATATACAGGTGCGCATTACAGCAATCACTTACTATAATTTGTGTCTTGCAAACCGATTATATATTCACAGCTTTTTACTTTCAAACGATTTAAACGATACAAATATCGTTTTAAACCAATTTCGTCGATAAATATGCAGGCCTGAGTGGTTTTAATGAGGAGAGTATACGAGCGCGCGCATACGCACGCATACGAATTATATAGACGGACGCTTTACGCCACGAGGCTCGGCCCGAGCAATTCCCGTTCGCCTAATGGAGATAAGCCGAAACGTACGATGTGGTTTTCTCAGGTGGCGTAATGAGCGAGGACACGAGGCCCTTAATATCGCGGTCGACTCTCCGCCCCTCCGCGGACGCAGGTGCAGCGAAATTGCCTCGTCGTGGAATCTGTATATTTCTCCGCTACACGGCTTTACGAACCACGCGAGAACTGAGCCTTGGTACTACGCGCTTCCGCGGCATTCCCCGTGGGACAGTCGAACGCCTTACTACGAACTGCGGAGTTATCGTTCGCTGAAATAATTAATCGCGGCTACGTGCGAGATCGATAGTCGTGTTCGCCGCGCTCTTGTTTCGGAACTTGACTCGACCTGGCGTCGGAAATATGCAAATCGAGACACACACCTTGTATAAATTCGAAACATTTCAAATAAAACTTAATATCTAGTTTGGAATTTTTTCATAATTTTATCTCTCAGCGAGTTTCATTTATTTCGAAACTTGTTAAATTTTTTGTGCGCGGCAAAGACGAGACAAAGTGTGGTGTTTTACGTTCCATTTTCAACACTGCCACGGCAATTGTGAAATTTCGGTTCTGTGCGAGGCGTCATTTGTGCTCGCATTTGTCGATTGGCGTGTCGATTCATATTGTTTAATATGAAACATGTGTTTGAATGATAAATCGCAGACTACGTAAAGCACGGAAATTAAGTTGGCTCGATTATGCGACTCACTGCTTCTTATAAGATTATGTTGTGCGCAACATGGACAAAGAAGGGGGATTTACTTTTGTAAAAGCGAGCCTTAAGCGCTTCTCCGTGCCAACACTGTGCTCTACGCCCACGAAATTAATTTAAATCGTTATTTGAGTCAATAGCGTACAGCTCGAATCGCGACTTAAGCGTGTCTAGTTAGACGATGCAACATTAATTACACCCCATGCATCCTCCAAGAACCTCAATCGCCTATCTCGCGCGCAGAATGCGCGAACACACGCGCGACTACGAATCAGCCGAACAAGCTCCCACGCCGTAGAAAATACCTTGCAGCTTAAGTTCGCGGAGATGAGACGAGCGCACACGGAAATTTCTCCGCGCCACCGTGACGAGCTACGAGGGAGATTCTCGCGGAGAAACGTTATTTCGTTCTTCGCGAGAGGCGCGCTCGCGAAATCGCATACGATTAAGGAGAGGAGACTCACCGTGCGAATCTGGAGGGAAGTCCCGTTCGTCACGTGCACCCTGCTGGCATTCTCTGCTCCTCCTTCCGTGCGCGACGTTTTCCCCTCGCTGCTTCTCGCCCTGCCGGAGCTCCTTCGATGACTTCCCGCCTGGAAATCGTATTTCTGTGGTGAGAGACGGACTTTCGGGCGCAGCGGGCAGTGAAGGTCTGGCAGGAAAATCGTCCGTCGAGAATCACTGTCGCGCCGAACGAATCGATCCGGACAAAAGCACTGTGAAAAAGCCGCTCGGTCCGTGATTCTTTTCGGCAAGCTGATTCAACGCGACAATCGACGCTGCTTGAGGAACTATTCTCATGGTATTTCCGCTAAATATTCTTAACAAGTACGCCCGCCTTCTCAGTTCGTGTATATTGCTATAAAAGTCGATGCTTCAGAAGCGTTTGACCGCTTTATCGGAAGTGGTCATGTGGAAAAGCATTGCCCCGAGGATTGCCCGAGGCAGCGACACGTCATCGACCTCGAGAGGCCGTTAATCGTCCCTCGTTAACGCGTTATCTCGATTCTCCAAATCTTCTCCGTACAATGCTCCCGTCCACTCAAACTGCTGTCCCTCTCTCCGATTCTATTTCGAGGCCTTGCGCATCGACTAGCAATCGCCTACAATCGTTCTTATTGTTTCGATCGGTCAAGACGTACCGCGGGGAGGATGGCGGTCGATGATCGATAAGGTGCTAACGCGCTAATTGGCAGACGTGGGTCGCAGCGTTCCGATCGTCCGGTTAATTATATTTAATTGGCGGGCCATTAATTGTATCCTTAATTACGACTGCGAGATATCTCTCGTGTGCGGTACTCTTGACGATCGAGTTGGCGAGATACGCAGCCAGAATGCGGGGACCACCGCGTAGACGTAATTGAGGAATGACGAAGAGACTGCGTCGAGTTGGCGCGAGGAGGAGGAGAAGAGGCCACCGCGTCGACGACAAAGAACAACCCAAGTACAACGGAGTGCGATAAAGAGCGCCAGCCGTTTCCAGGTCCAGGATATTAAACGATGCCCGTCGCCCGAGGATTAATCCCCCGCGCTTCGCCCCGAGGTCGCGGTAGTCGGTAGAAGCCTCGATGCGGAAAGCTCGTCTGCGATTTTCTCGGATGAAAAGGGCTTGTTTGTCTCAAGGACGGTCCCTTACGAAGCTTCTTACGCGCCTCGATGCCCTCTGCCGAGGAGAGGATCGTTCGCTCCCATCGCGCGAACAAGCGGAGGGGTCGCCGTCCACTTTTCCTCGCGAGAGCGAAGCCCTTTTTCCGGCAGGATGGGCGCTTTAGCCCGTCACCTCTACGCAGAGCTCCCTTATTACGACGATCGATCGGTCACTCCCCTTTCACGCCAATCCGCAAGACTCGTCTCGAGTCCGGCACGCGGAGATTGTACGCTCCGTAAGTTGCGCTGCGCGCAAGATCGTCAACGTGAGTTCGATCGCGACGATGCAACGACGATTGACGTCGTCGTTATCGTGCCTGCACACTGTCGCGCGTCAACTGCGATAGTCGGACGATTAGGCACTCTATCGGCGGCCGGGAGTTTCCGGCGTACGTTGCGGAACTAAAACGGATGTGTGTAGGTACCTCTCGAAGCAGATCGCGCAAGAAATGTTGAAGCCTTAAATTAATCTTGGCGCTACGGCCAACGTAGCTGACGGGAGAGATCACGCGCTCCTCGCGCTGTCTATTTTCCCATTTCACTTCGCGGCGTCTATGTTTCTTTACAAAACGTCGCGAGCGCTCTTGAATTACAAACTTTCCACGATGTCTACGCACCTGCGTGAAATATCGAGTTTCTACGCGAAACGCTCGATCCTTAGACTACGCGATCTTCGCGAACTTCTATGCGAGCCAATATTTATACGCGCGCACACTCTTCGAGTTCAGTTGCGTGTAAATGTGCAAACGTGCATTCCGTTCGTCTTCATTGAGTGAACTTTAATCAACATTAATAAACTCCAACTCCGGAAGATGTCTCGGCAGATCGACTCAAAGCTCTCGTTACGTCTCTCGGCACTGCTCGCAGGATTCCGCAGATCTCCAGTGAAGCTCAAAGAGCGACGCGAAATCCGAAGAGGATCGTCCAGACAATATATTGCCGGAACACGAGTGCGTCTCTCGTCGTTCGAGCGTCGTCGTCGTCGTCGTCGTCGATGTTACTCGATCCTTGCGCGGACGTCGAATTTGCAGCACGAACAGCCGTCCGCTCGCGCGAGCACCCGACGGAGGACTCTGAGAGGAGACGACCCGGCGCGGAGGAGACACCTTCGCCGAGGTAGAGGAGAGAGGTCACCCCGCAGCGAAGCGGGCTCTCGGCGCGACTGAGAGGCGCGGGACCGCGGCAACGAGAGCCACCCCCGCCGCTACGAGAGGGTGGCGGAGGTCCGGGGGGATGGAGGTGCGCGAAAGAGGAAGAGGACGAGAGGGAACGAGAGAGGACGAAGAGGGAGCGCCTGTGCGCGCAGTCGCGAGTTTCGAAACGACTTGCCGGACCGACACTATTAATTGCGCCCTCTCTCTCTTTTGTCGCTTCAGAAAAATGACGATGACGCTCCGCGCGAAAACTCGCGCGAGATCGCGTACGCTCGCTCACGTCACTCGCAGCGATCGTCACAAGGGGATTCCTATCGGATAGTCCTTTGGTTTGCGAAGAGGGTCGTTCGCCCCCTCGCGCACCACGCGCACTTTCCATCAAACCAACCACCGCTCCCGTTCGCTTTTGTAGATCCCCCCGCGCCCTCCCGCGCCGGCCTTGTCTTGCTACTCTCCATCCCCCCTCGAACGCTACCCTGAAATAATGGACGGATAATCTGTTCTGGCGCGGTCCCGCCGGGACTAAAAGGTTCCTACGAATTCGTCGAGCATCCCCCGCGCAAACTGCTGCCCGTCCATCGGCCCCTCTCTCACGGCCTCACGGTTGCTTTCTCAACTTTTTCACCCTCTCTCGATGACTGCTCGCACGGCCCGGCCGATGTTCCTTTCCTCGACCGCTGCCCTTCGCCCTCTCGAGATGCGCGAGATCGAACGCGGATGCTGACCTGAAAATGGTTTTACGCGAGCGACGAGAGTCGAGAAGAGGCGTTTTGCTCGAAAAGGCCGTCGCTGTTCTGGAAAATGTTGAAAACGGAACGCTCTCGCTGCACGTTGACATTTTTCGTTGCATTATTCTAGTATCTCGACGAAATCTTTCAGAAATGAGAGAAACGTGGAGCAACTTTGGCAGATTTTACCTCCCTTATTTTTAGCAAATTGCAAGTCGACGACTACAAGTATGCATTTATAACTCTTGCAAACGAACCTAAAATAATATCGGAAGATCGGGGCGAGCGTTTTAGATCGAGTCAATATTCGACCCAATTTTCATCGTCCATTTTCCGCAGATACTTCAAACGTACACGAGTTAAAATCCGCTTCGGCCGGATAAACGAGGAAAGCAGCAAGGCGCGCCTTTAGTACCGCGTTTGCATAGAAAGCACATTTTACGGGCCCGGAAACGAGGTAGTAGGGTCTCCCGGCGGTACGCTCAGGCCCTATCGGCGGTTTTGGTGGCGAGGTGGCTCGCAATTAGAAGTGTAGCAACCACGCCATAAACATAAAGTCCCGGCCTGGCACTACGCCCACGTTACGCGACTCCAAACTTTTACTCCCGGCATTCGTAATGACGACACGTGTGAAAGTCCACAATGCACGGGCAATGCACGGCCACGACGGCAAGCAAACGCCCTTCACCATGAATAAGGTAGATATACGTGCGGTCCTTTCACGCTCACCAAATCTGTAATTTACATCGACGCGGCAACGCGACAAGAATGCATATCAATGCGAGAGAAGAAATAAATGATCGAAAAATAGAGTTTCAGAGAGAATTAGCAAAAATGTTTTATGTACGGTATATTTTTATTTAAACGATATTTAAATAATTTAAATATTTTTATCACAATTATTCTTATAAAAGTTATAAAAATATTTTAATTGTTTAAATAAAAACCACCTAAATTTTTAAATAAAACAGTCTAGCGTAATAAACCTTTCAAAAATATATAATATGAGAGATTTAATTATAAGCGCGCGCTCTGCTCTTTCCTCTTTGCGCGAAATTTAATGCTCAAAGACGAATCGGAACAGTGTCCCTTCTCGTCAACATTTCTGACAAGTAACGTTTACAGCGCAGCAAAGAAAGACATCATCTCTCCTGAGAGACGTGAGAGGACGCAAAATTCGCGGTAACTTCCGTAAATGAGAGGATTGCCGAGCGGCGAAACAGGCGAAAGTCGCTCGAGGGTATACACCCTATTTCGTCAGCGGAAGTCCTCGGGATCTCCTGTCTCGCGGGGTCGTAAGAGGAGGAACTTACGCCGTCGCCCTCGATAGGACTTCTCAATCCGCCTCTCGAGACCCTCGCGGTAAAGGCTCGTCAACTCGATCGGGACTTTAAAACAATTTTGATATCTCATCTCTAGCGCGCGTCTTCCCCGCGCGACTTTCTGAAAGCAGTTCTCCCGCGGTACTTTTCAATCCCCCGAGAGAGAGAGAGAGAGAGAGAGAGAGAGAGAGAGAGAGAGAGAGAGAGAGAGAAAACTGCATCATCGTCTGATTGCCGATTCAAGCGTGCATGCGAACTCGCGACGAACGGATACGACAACGAACTTGATTCGACGGTTTTTGTGCGAGGCAAATCGTCCTGTGCCAGAATTTTCGTGACGTCGTTTCTTTTTGTTTTATCTTAACTATCGCAAGTGTGATATTTTACCAATCTGGTTTTGTTCTGGAAACATCTGCATAGAAGCAGAAAAGCTAAACTAGACAAATTTTTTTATTAATTATTTTATTATTTTTGAATCATAATTTTATGATAATCATATATTCAAAATTATAAATTAAATTGTTCCGCTGTTCACTTAAGTTTCATTCTTATATTTTTTTCAATATTTATTCGACAAAAATATCACCCATTTTCTCAATCGTTTCATCCGAAAATTGCACCCCGCGTTAATGCCTTCGATTTATGTTTGATATTAATCACATTCATTTGCAGGCAATAACACTGCGCAATGATGCAATGTCAATGTAATCCATGTTTATATTAATTGCGTTGCTTATTAATA